AACTGTTGCAAAGCTAGATAGATGATTATCGTAAACTGATATCATATACATCTGCAATTATTGATGCATGTTCTGCTCTGCAGGGAAATTGTTCACGAAGAAACTGGGCATGTGCTCAAAGTACCCTTTCGACGGGTTCATTTATCTGGCGATGAACCACACTTTGACAATTATGACACTAGTGGTCCTCAAAACATTAGCCCCCGTGTTGGTAAGATGATCAATTATTAACTGTTCCTTAAAGAGACTCATTTTTGCTATATTTTTTTTTTGTAGCATTTATTGGTTTTGTTTATTATTTTTAATTGTTCGTGAATGTATACTTTTACTGCAAATATAATTTTTTGTGAAAATTGTTTGGACTCTGATGCTCAGATATACGTCTGTTATTTTAAGTCTGCTGCATAAGCAGACTATTTCTTGCCTAAACATTAAAACCAACTGCTGTGAAACTGACATCCTTTAGCAGTGGGCCTATCTGACTCTATAAGAAAACATAAATAGCGGCAAGTATGATTGCTTTCTATAATGGGCATTCCCTTTGAGCTTTTGTTAATTGTCTTGTAATCCAGTTTCTATAAATAATGCTTGCTTACTTGATTTCCATGATGAATCAATACAAACAGTTCTGGTAATTTTTTTTTCTTTGGTGTCCTGTGTGGGTGTATGTTACCTATCTCTTTCAATTTTTGACAATCAACAATGCTATATAGGATTGCCTAAACTTCGCAAGGACTGGGTTGATAGGAGAGAAAAATTAGGAGCACCAAGATGCACACAGATGTATTATGCCAAGCAAGGAATCATAACTGAGGAAATGTTGTTTTGTGCCACTCGTGAGAAGCTTGACCCAGAGTTTGTGAGGTCAGAGGTTGCTCGTGGGCGGGCAATCATCCCTTCCAACAAGAAGCATTTGGAATTGGAGCCCATGATTGTGGGTAGAAATTTCTTGGTCAAAGTAAATGCAAATATTGGAAACTCCGCTGTTGCGAGTTCAATTGAAGAAGAAGTTTATAAAGTCCAATGGGCGACCATGTGGGGAGCTGATACTGTCATGGACCTCTCTACTGGTCGTCACATACATGAGACTCGTGAGTGGATTTTGCGTAACTCACCAGTACCATTAGGAACTGTACCCATATATCAGGCACTTGAGAAAGTGAATGGAATAGCTGAAAATCTCACCTGGGATATTTTCAGAGAAACACTGATTGAACAAGCTGAGCAGGGTGTAGACTATTTCACTATTCATGCTGGGGTCTTACTGCGATACATCCCTCTAACAGCCAAAAGAATGACGGGAATCGTATCACGTGGAGGATCTATTCATGCAAAGTGGTGTTTGGCTCATCATAAGGAAAACTTTGCTTATGAACACTGGGATGACATACTTGACATCTGTAATCAGTATGATATATCCCTATCAATTGGTGATGGGCTGAGACCTGGTTCAATTTATGATGCTAATGACACTGCTCAATTTGCGGAGCTCTTAACTCAGGGTGAACTGACTCGTAGAGCATGGGAAAAAGATGTGCAGGTATGAATAAAAGTCTCTCTTGCATACATGCATCCACGTGCTAACAATCAAACTTACGTTAGTTATATGCATTTGTGAGGAAACCTATTACTCGCAGTTATATGCAGTGAAAGAACATCTTATTGTTGTAACTTTCGTAAGAACCACTCAAGCCGTACCTATTACAGCTTGTTTGGTTGTGAATGTACACTAAAAATATGGATCTAAAGGTTCCATTATTTTCAATAGCTAATACAGGCAATTATTTTCTGCTATTTTCATTTTAGAGATTAGGAATGTTATTTTTTACTTGATTCTAACTAGTGGCCAAATATTTGAATTTCAGGTAATGAATGAAGGACCAGGACATGTTCCAATGCATAAGATCCCTGAAAATATGCAAAAACAGCTTGAGTGGTGTAATGAAGCACCTTTTTACACTCTCGGCCCCTTGACTACGGATGTTGCTCCTGGATATGACCACATTACCTCTGCCATTGGTGCAGCCAATATTGGGGCCCTTGGCACGGCTCTTCTCTGTTACGTGACACCTAAAGAGCACTTAGGATTGCCGAATCGAGATGACGTGAAGACTGGAGTAATATCATATAAGATAGCTGCTCATGCAGCTGATCTAGCCAAAGGTCACCCACATGCACAGTCATGGGATGATGCACTGAGCAAGGCAAGATTCGAATTTCGGTGGATGGATCAATTTGCTTTGTCAATGGACCCTATGACTGCCATGTCCTTTCATGATGAAACCTTGCCATCAGAAGGTGCCAAGGTAGCCCATTTCTGCTCCATGTGTGGACCCAAGTTCTGCTCCATGAAGATAACTGAAGATGTGCGAAAGTATGCCGAGGAACACGGGTACGGGAACGTAGAAGAAGCTCTGCAGCAAGGGATGGATGCTATGAGTGCTGAATTTTTGTCTGCAAAGAAAACCATTAGTGGTGAACAACATGGTGAAACTGGTGGGGAAATCTACTTGCCTGCAAGCTACGTGGACTCCATGAAAAGGTGAAGGTTAGGAATCACAATTTCTTTTTGGTCTTTTTGATTTTATTCCTTGGTTTTCTTAGCATAGAACAAGAACTTGAACAACCATATATCAATGTCTTCATATTCCACACTCGAAAGGATTTGGTACAAAGTGTTCTCATATGGGATTTCTACACATATATTACCGAAACACCTCGAGAACCTGCTCGATTATTATCTGACATTGATTATCTTGTCTAGATTAAATATCCTTGTAGGCTTCATGGATATATAATTAGTTAATGCTGCAGCCTGCAAGAGACGGGTAATGCTTTTTATATCTTGGGTCTTATGCATACAGTCCAATGGTAATAGTTAGTCAGTCACATCTTTAGATGAGGAAGAACCCTACTCAGTAAGGTAAGGAGTAAGGTTTTGTAATCGGTATCGTTCCCCTTTTTCGATAAGGGGCAATGAGAACCATTGCTCTCAGTTTTTAGCGATTACTTCGTTAATTCCTGTGGTTGATTCTTACAAATGTATGAATTTGCAGGACCGCTAGGGAAGGAGAAAGGGTTTGAAGTGCAGGAGACTTGTTTGAGCGGACAGATCATTTATGCCTGCTGCTTGAGTTTCCTAATTCTGGCCATGGAAGAGTACGAAGTTTAGCTTGTATCTATTCCCCTTTTATTGGCTGTATTTAGTTTGTCTGCTTTGTGTCTCTCTATCTGTTGGAACTAAAAAAAAAGTTATTGCTGCTGTTCTTGATGTCTTGGCTGTTGTGTCTCTTTCATCATCTTTGTTTTGATTCCTATATTAATGTAGAAACGCACCGGGGGTGCCTCGACCAAGTTCTTAGCTTTGCTCGGCTGCGGGCTTAACTTGGTCAGGCTGAGATAGTCCCTTTGAACCTGAACAGGATAATGCCTGCGTAGGGAGCGTGCTTTTCTGTTTTTTGTTTGTGTTTGTATACAGGAAAAACGTCGCTACACTGCTCGTGGCTGTCGTTATGGTCGACGATCTATTTGAGCATGCATCATTCGAACCTGACCAAAACAATGAGGCAACTGAAGACAGTAAATTCTCCATTTTCCTATTTACCAAAATATTTGCAAGCTCCTCATAACTGGAAAATGAAAATAGCCATATTACTTTTTTACCCTTGGCAAGCCAAGTGGACTCATAGGGGTAAAGAGCAACTAAAAAATAGAAAATTCTTTTTGTCGAGATAAAATATTAATTACTATCTAATACTAATTACTATGTTAAATGGGCTATTTAATTTATGAAGTTTAGATTAATTAATTTAGTTATAATTTGTTTAAAAGAATTAAATTAATCTTTAGATATTAACATAAATGACCTAGAGTGAAGCTTCGTGTGAAAATTTGTGACTAAGATTTGAAATACGAAGAATAAAGGAAACTAACTATATAGTAAAAAAGATTTTTTATCCGATAGTTTAAAGTTTTAACATAAAAATGACAATTATTAATAATAATTTGATTAAACATTGACCGAGTGGATAAACGACTATTGACTACGCAAATCTTAGCAAAGAACTTGCTATTTTATTTCTTTTCATGTATTTTACTCTAAATCGAAGCCGTCAAACCAATCATTTAATAATTTTAATATTTGTCTTTGAACTTGGATTTTTAAATTTGGTTAAATTATTATTATTATTATTGCTAGTTAGAGAATTAGATTTCATAAAGTTAGAATTTGGTTATTACGGAAATGTAAGACAAATATTTTAGTTGACATTAATGAATTTAAATAATATGACGTGAATCTACTAGTAATTTGATCAATTATATGGCGTGAACGACTCTAACATACATATCGAACCATAACATAAGAATAGTAGATGATCACCGAAATAAATTCAATTCTACAAAGACATGATTAAGGTTAATTTTATCCTTGAAAGTATCTAATAAAAAAAAGAAGATTTGTTGTAACCTTTCATTTTTGCCGACACTTGCCAATAGAAGGTGATGCAAGTTCGATGAATCCTCTCCACAATGTAAGTGAATCAATTAGGGATATTATCTCAATAAGGGTGAGATTTTTAGGGTTTTTTAAAACAACATTACAATGTCACGTTTATGGCTCAAAATAGGCAATATCATACCATTATAGAGATATGTGGTGATTCACATGTCCATAATATTTTCTTTATCATTATAAGTGAGTCGAATAATGAATCTCTTCCACGAATTTCATAGTTAGCATCTATTTGGTCTCAAATATCCAATTTGATATCGATGGAGGGTCTATTATGGGTTCTTCAAATCAACTACAAAATTTGTTATTTAAATCTTGAATTTAAAGAATAATAACGATTACGTTATTGCAACCGTATCATCCGCTATTTTAATTTTTAATATCTAAAATAACGTATTATTTAAACACATTTGATTTGTAGCTTTCGTGTGCATGTGAGTATTATTTTTAATTAATTTCCAAAACTTTATATTGTCCAATTTTCTCAACCACCCTTCCTAAAATTTGCCCCATTTCTCAACTTTATAAATCCACTTTTTTTTTTACTTCCTTCTTCACTAATTCCTTCAACCTTCTCCCCCAATGGCTAACGACGTCGTTTTGCCCTTCCCCTTCCCCTCTTCTCTTCTCCTCCTCATTTTCGCCTATTTGATTTGGTTTCATTTCCTCGCCCGTACGCTAACCGGTCCGAGAGTCTGGCCGGTCATAGGCAGCCTACCGGCTCTCATCTCGAATCGGCGGAGCCTCCATGACTGGATGGCTGGGAACCTCCGCTCCACAGGCGGCGCTGCCACATACCAAACTTGTACGGTGGCACTTCCATTCTTCGCTAGAAAACAAGGCTTCTACACGGTCACGTGCCACCCGAGAAACATCGAGCACGTGCTCCGAACCCGGTTCGAAAATTACCCGAAAGGACCGGACTGGCAAGCGGCTTTTCACGATCTTTTGGGTCAAGGGATTTTCAACAGCGACGGCGAGATTTGGCTGGTCCAGCGGAAGACGGCGGCGCTGGAGTTCACGACGAGGACGCTACGGCAGGCGATGGACCGGTGGGTGAATCGCACGATAAGGACGCGACTTTGGTGCATATTGGATAAGGCGGCGGAGTATAAAACGGCGGTCGATTTGCAGGATTTGTTGCTCCGATTGACTTTCGATAACATTTGTGGGCTCACTTTTGGGAAAGATCCTCAAACTTTGTCGCCGGAATTGCCTGCAAGTCCCTTCGCTTTGGCGTTTGATTCCGCCACTGAAGCCACTCTTCACCGCCTTCTTTACCCTTGCATTTTATGGAGGTTTTATTTATTTATTTATTTAATTTTTAACTTTTAATTACTAATTACTTCTCTTTTTCATAATTAGTCTTTTAATTTTATTTAGCTCTTAAAATTAATCTTCTTAAAACAAATTATTTGGGTGATACGTAGATTTTTTTTTAAATAAAAAACTAAATATATTGTTTTGGTTTTTAATTAGTTTATTTTAGTTTTAGCTTTCTTGAACTAACTTTATAAGCTAAATAATATTATAAAAAACATTGTTGCACATTATTAAAAGACTAAACATTATTATAAAAGGCTAAAATTGTCTTTTAAAACTTAGTAATATCTTTAAACTTTTAAAATTAATATTAATACTTTTAAATTTTTTCTTAATAAAAATATTTTATAAACAAAATACTAATATTATTTATTCAAACTAATGCTGAGAGTAATTTTTTTTTTCAATTTTAAGAAAATTATTGAAATTTTTAAAATTTTAGAGGTTTTTTTTTTTTTTTTTATAAAAAAAAGTTGCCATATTATTTTTGAATTAACTAATAAAATGTGACAAAAAAATTCAAAAAATCAAATGAACCTAAAATAAACTATTTAAAAAGTTTAATGTAGTATAATAAATTTGAAAATAGCATTGAAAGCTAGAATTTATTTAAGTAAATATGATAATAATGCATGTAAAAATCAATTAATAATAAATTTCTGACTCTTATTTGTTTATATTAAGGTTAAAGAAGCTTCTGGGCATCGGAATGGAAAGAAGGTTAAAGGAGAGTTTGAAAGTAATAGAGGAATACATAAACGACGCCGTTGCATCCCGCAAAGAATCCCCCTCAGACGACTTATTATCCCGCTTCATGAAGAAGAAGCACGACGGCGACGGCGACGGCAACCGCTTCTCCGCTGCAGTGCTCCACCGCATCGCCTTAAACTTCGTCCTCGCCGGCCGGGACACATCCTCCGTGGCACTCACGTGGTTCTTTTGGCTCGTAATGAATCACCCGCATGTAGAGGCTAAAATCCTCGCCGAAATCTCAACGGTGCTCCGCCAGACACGTGGCGATGATCCACGCCGGTGGATCGAAGAGCCGTTGATGTTCGACGAGGCCGATAAATTGGTGTATTTAAAAGCCGCGCTGGCCGAAACGCTGCGTTTATACCCGTCCGTACCGCAGGATTTCAAATACGTCGTGGCTGATGACGTGTTGCCAGATGGGAGTTTTGTGCCGGCCGGTTCGACCGTGACGTATTCGATTTATTCGGCCGGGAGGATGAAGAGCATTTGGGGGGAGGATTGTGGGGAATTTAAACCGGACCGGTGGCTGTCGCCGGACGGGGACAGGTTCGAGGGGCCGAAAGATGGGTATAAATTCGTGGCGTTTAATGCTGGACCGAGAACTTGTTTGGGGAAGGATTTGGCTTATTTGCAAATGAAGTCCGTCGCCTCCGCCGTGCTCCTCCGGTACCAGCTGGCGCCGGTTCCCGGTCACCGGGTGGAACAAAAAATGTCTCTTACTCTTTTTATGAAGAATGGGCTTCGGGTTTATTTGCATCCTCGCCGGCTCGGCTAGAAGGGGTGTTTTCGTCATTTCATTGTCACTTGAATTTATCTGTTTTTGTCGAACCAATTATTTGTTTATTTTGGTTTTTGCATGGCAGGAAAATTGGTTCTTTTCTTCTTTTATACTGCACAGGGTAAATTTGTCATTTCGGTGGTCTTCACGAGGGCATAATTGTCAATGTGTGTGTTTTTTTTCTCTCTCTTTTTCTTTTTTATAAGTGAACTGTTGGTGTTTGTAATTGTTGTATTTGGACGAATTGGTGGATCTTTATATTATTATAATTTTGTGCATATTCTTAATATTCTAAATTAATTACTTAAATATCACACTTCAAATTAAATGTTATTCAAATGTATTATTTTTCACGAACAACTAATTTTATTTACCAAAATATTTCTTTGGCTTAATTTATCAAAGATTAAATTAAATTTATCAAAGCTTAAATTATAAATTAGGAGATAAATATGCCAACCCTAGATTTTAAAAAAATCATTAAAAACGTTTTATTCATCACATTTAAATCTAACATGTTTAGCTGATAAGCTAAAATACCATTTTATGTAATATTATAATAACTTAACAAATATAATACAATAAGATTGTAATTAAAGTCAAATCAAAGGTGAAAACATAAAAAGTTAAAAAAAAATATAATACAATAAGATTGTAATTAAAGTCAAATCAAAGGTGAAAACATAAAAAGTATATCTCAAAAATAAAAATCTTTAAAATCATTCATGTTTTAAAATTAATGGTTATTTAACAACATTTTTAGTCCAATTATTCAATCAACTTAAGCTTACCTTCTCCTATACATGAGCCTCAATTGCAATTTTACATATATATTTACAAATTTCAAAATTAGGGGTTTCTTCTCTTCTCTTTTCTTTTCTTTTTCTTTTCCCTAAAAACACCCAAGAGAATCTATTTCCTATACACAGTGGGCTTTTTGTTTCTAGCAACATCTTTCCAATGGCTTAGAGAAGCAGTTTTCCAAGAATTAGTTTGGAAATGAGGGGGGCTTACTTGTGAAGGAGGAGTGTCAAAGTTGCATCTACAACCTTACTCCAATATTTTCTCACCCGTTGAGAACAGATTCCAAACCACTGTTCCAACCAAGTACAGCCCAACTGATACCTTGAAAACATCATCCCACGAACCTGAAAAAAAAAATTCTTAACATGTTTTAAAATTGGTTGTTAGAGAAAAACTATCTTTCAGTCCGAGCATTGCTCAATTCTCCACCTCTAGTTGTTGAAGTAAGAAAAAGAGTCTCCACCTCCTACTCCTCCCCGTCTAAATTACGAATCTCCACAATGGTATGAACTCACAATCGGACTCTCTCCCAACAATCCTCAACAATTTTTCCCTCGAACAAAGTACGCTATAGAGCCTCCCTTAATCGAGGCTTGACTTCTCTAGAATTCTCGAACAAAGTACATCCTTTGTCCGACACTTGAGTCACTTTCGACTATACCTTCATGGCTCTAATACCATGTTAGGAATCATAGGCCTCCACAAAGGTATGATATTGTACACTTTGAGCATATGCTCTTGGGACTCTCTCCCAACAATCCTCAACAATTTTTCTCTCGAACAAAGTACGCTATAGAGCCTCCCCTTAATCGAGGCTCGACTTCTCTAGAATCCTCGAACAAAGTACACCCTTTATTTGACACTTGAGTCACTTTCGACTATACCTTCGACCTAAGTTAAGGTCATGGCTCTAATACCATGTTAGGAATCATAGGCCTCCACAAAGGTATGATATTGTACACTTTGAGCATAAACTTTCATGGTTTTGTTTTGGGCTTTCCAATAGGCCTCATATCTATATGAAGATATATAGATATGACCCATCATCGTGGGGCGATATCTAAATTAGCCAATGTGGATTCTCTTCCAACCATCCTCAACCGATTTTATAGCAAGTTAGAATACTTTTATGATTGGGGTTAAACATTTTTGTATGTTTCTTTTCAGCATTTTGTTCGTTAAACTTTGCATGTTTTATTAGTAGTTTCACGACTCTTTTCAATGAGATATTAATTTCACTACGTATCGAAGTTTAAAGTTAAATTTTGACGAAATCGAAATTTTGGAAGTTATAATAGACCCACCAAGGTTAAGAGTAAGAAATTATTCTTTCCCTTCTTAAAAGTTCTTGGTATATAGTATTGGAAGAAGTGGTACTAACCGTGTTGCAAGATATAACCTGTAGCCGCTGTCCCAAAGACACCTGCTAGCACTCCAGCTGTGTTTGATAGACCTAGTAACACTCCCTAAACAGATCATTGCATAAATTTCAAGTTCTTTCCAAAAGGAGCCTAATATGGCAAGTAATCAAACTAAAGGAACTTTATATCTCCAAATGACTCGGAGCAGAAAACACTCACAGAATATCGTGGGGCGATATCTTGATGGTTTGAATATAGACCGGATTGAGAGAATGCATCGGTTCCCTATTCAAGGCAGCATATCAAAGTAAATGTTGTATGTTTTTCCATAAGAACAGGAAGATTTGGAAAGGACAGATCAAAATGCAAAGCAACCTGGCTGCAGGCCATGCACAAAACCGCCATGGCCGGCGAATCGACATGGCTCAACTGGGTCAAGAAGAATGCAGGGCCAAGGAATCCAACACTTTGCATAATCTGAAAAGTAAAAATTTAAGAAACTGTTCTTCAAGCAGAGCACAATTAAGAGATTCTACCAATGACAGTTATGCACAATGGCCTATAAGAGTTGAATGCCAAACAGCGAGTGAAGGGGGAAGCCAGAAAGTTGTTAAGAAATAGAACTGACTCGTTCAATGCTCAATTTAGAGTATTTAATTCAAGCATTAAATGTGTATAGAAAGTTAAGTATATCATAACCTATCCGCTTAAGTTTTTTGATTTAGAATATGAGAAAAGTTTGATATTAGAAGTATTTCTTTTACCTTTCGAACTGTAGTCACCGAGAGGCCTCTGCTCACAAGTGTGTCGGCAATCCAGCCACCAAGGTTTGCAGAAAACGCCATTGTTAGCCAGGGAAGAACACAAAGAAGTCCAGATTCTGTGAGATTGAACTTCAGGACCTAAGTGATATTTAAGCATTCCAAATCAAGATTTACATAACTTACGTATCACGGAAGCAAAAAGCTTATGCCGTTCATTCCTACAATTTGTTTCTTTTGCAATCTTCACGTCTGTTGAGCCTTTATACTTTTATTCATCTTAATGAAAACAAGTTATTTTTCATTCAAGAAAAGAATTTTGCATTTCAGTCTGCAACACAACAACCAAAAAAATTCTTCCCAAATCTCCCAATCCCTTTTTTCAAGATTTACATGTGTTATGTTCTACAATCTATCAATCTTTCTGTCCTGTGGAAAACTGAAAAAGTTGAAATTTTAAAAGTATCTTTTTGTGTTCTGTAATCATCAGAAACTTGAATACTTGTTCAATTAGCTAAAGATTACATTAGAAAGAGGCAGTAAATATGACAGGCGGTTAAAAGAGCTGTCCTAATAAAATTTTACCATGAAGTAATAAAAAAGACTTACCTGGTGATAGTATGTTGGCATCCATGTCAGTAGAATAAATGTCCCCCAATTGTGACAAAAATGAGAAACTATAAGAGCCCATACAGGTGCTTTGGACAAGATTAGTCCCCAAGGAATGCTTTTAACAGGCTCCTTGTTAACACTATTTGCAAAAATCAGCTTCTTTTCTTGTGGTCTCAGTTGAGGATCATCAAGTGGTGAACTGTGTGCCTATAGCCACAATTCGAAATCAATCAAGTGTCGTTGACAAGTTTCCCAGAGAGCTTTATGACTCAAGACAGGCCTTTAATAGCTTATACAACAATAAACAAAGTGACTTCGACCGAGAAATATTTTGGTAGTAGCAGACTTGGTTACCTTATTGAGCCAGACAGTAAACCAAACCGCACCAAGAGAGCCGAAGGAAAAGAAAACAGATGGCCATCCAAACTGATGTATTAAAAATGGTGAGAAGGCAAGGCCTGTTACTGAACCAAGATACATCCCACTATAAACAAATGCTAATGATCTGCTTCTTTCTGCTACAGGAACCCATTTGGAGAGAATATTGTTCATGGCAGGCATTGCAACACCCTGAAACCAATTGAACAACCTGATCTAATGTCTAAGGATGATGACAAGAAATAAGAGAAGGGAAGCAAATTTCTTACCACCACCTTCCTACCATATTTCTTTATATGTAACAGCATGGAGAAAAGGGATGGATTTGCCACACAAAACTCAATACTAAACATAGCCTATGTTATTGGTTTAAATTCTTAGGTCTATTGGTGATATAACGAGACAAACCTCACCGATCCCCATGAAGGCACGAACAACAAGCAAGAAGGGCAGCCCAAGTTTAGCTGCTACAGGTGTGAGAGCTGTGGCAACTGACCACCATATCACACCAAATCCCAAAACCAGCTTTCCCCCAACTGTATCTGCCCATATCCCACCAGCAATCTGTCATCAGCCATGGCTAAAAGTTAGAAATAGAGGAAGAATAAAACAGTGGTTCCTCTTTTTGGGGAAGAAGAGGAATGATTTTAATGACAAGATGTAGAGACACGAATCTATGAATAGAGATTTGACTATTTGGTTTCTTTCCCACTTCTTAAAACCAATTTATTTCCTCATAAGTTCTTATGTTGCGTTTGGATTACTTGATTTTATTATCAAATAATCAAGGCGAAAGGTCTTGTTTCATCCATATCATTGTTTAGCTTCATTTTTACAATACACAAGAAGAAACTCTTGGCCAGTAATTCAAAGCATTGGAACAATAGAAAGCTCTCAAGTTTACCTGAGTGAGGAGATATCCCCAGAAAAATGAGGATTGTATTAAACCAACAGTTTGAGGATTCCAGTTATACTCTGCTGACATTGGAAGTATAGCGATGCTCATGTTTACCTGCATAGATCAAACAGACAGATTCATTTTTATAAGCAGTACGCTCCATTAGATTCACAATTTTATTTTTACTTGTATTTTTTTTTTTTAAATGAACTTGCTCTTCTCGCAACTTTATTTCCTCTACTGTTTCCACTTTAAAAACAATTTTGAATTACAAGTCAATTTTCTAAAAAAAAAAAAAAAAAATGTAGATTACAAAACCAAAGAAATAATAATAGTTATAAAAAGTTTCTTTTTAAAGAACATAATGATTAAAAATGGCATTTTCCGTACTCGAACTTTGAATTTGATTTCTAATTATTCCT